GTAATAGTAATAGTAATGGTAATGGTAATGGTAATGGTAATGGTAATGGTAATGGTAGTAGTAGTAGTAGTAGTAGTATTGGTATTATAGCAAAAGCAGGAGTGAGTAGCGGTAGCAGCCTTCACTGACATCAGGGTACTTGGTTTCAGCATGAAGGCCCTGTAGTCAATCTTTCACAACCAGCAGTCCTCCTCCTGCTGGCCTTCTTCTCCCTCCGGCGCATCTTCGGCTGTGTCAGCCGGTTCCCTGCCCAAAGGACCCACAAACCACCCGATCAGACAAAGTTCCGACTGACTACCATGACTATAAAACCGCCATCGCAAATCATCTCTCGAGCAACTGGGCTCGATCCACCCTTCGAAGCCCACCTGTCCCCATCTGCCTCCCTGTTAACATGCGCCAGGAACAGTGCATAACAAGGCCTCTCCACCGGCTCCGGTTGCGGCGCGGGTGCTTTGGGCGCGGGCTTTGGCAAAGGCAGGTCCAGCTCGACCGCGGGCCTAGTGGCGTACCTGGGAGTTTCATGCCGATCGATCTTGGAGCTGGTCGTTGCGAGGGCGTTGGTTGTGTATTTGTATGTATCAATAAATAAATAAAGAAATAGATAAAACATAATACTAATAAGAATAGTAATGCTAAGAAGAAGAAAATAACAACATATGCATGTTACATATATATATACATACATACATACATACATACATACATACATATATATATATGTATATATATATATATTTATTTATTTATTTATTTAGATATAGATATAGACACACACACACACATACGAGTGTAGGGGAGGGAGGCTTAGAGGGTGCAGGGAATTTCATGATGATCATTTGGGTGGTCTAATTTCCCAGACCGTTGTTTCGGCAGGAGAAGCGATGGGGGGCTGATTCCAGAATTTGGCAAAGGACAAGCTGAAGCAAAACGACAGCGGTCGTTGTACTGTCCATTGTATTCCAGTGCCAAATGCCCTTGTGTCACTACTGCACTATTCCTACGACTGCGACTGCTGCCACTGCTACTGCTTACACAACCACCGTCACATACTTGTGGTTTCCAAGCTGAGCTGAACAATGTGACAAACACAAACTGTAGCGATACCTGTCATGTTGTGGCGTCGCTTGCTTTGACCATGCAGTCTGGTTCTATTATATCAGGTATGGGTTTGGGCATGTACATAAATCTTGGGTTAAACCAAAAGGGCAAGGGCCACCCACCCCGCACAAGCCCGAGCTGATGCTCAGATGCTGGTTCCCCCCAAATGAAAAGCTTTTGCCCCCGCCCTCCCTCCGAAACCCTTCCTGCCCTTCACCCTCCCTACCTACCCCCTCTAAGACTCCAAGCACTGGGTTGAGTTGGATGTCCTTTGGAGCCTTTTGACCTGGGTCGTGGGCTGGCGGGGTGGTGGTAGCACAAGTTGGTGTCAGAAGTAGGCGGTGGCAGAATTTGGTGGCACTGAAAGCCCGAAAGGTGTTGGTGCAAGATGGTGGTGGTGGTGGAAAGGTGTTGGTGCACAACTTTTGGGGTGCAAAGCAACTTTGTGGATGCATCACGCGGGTTTGGCGCCTGTGGTGGCACAAGTTGGTCTGGTGGCGCAGGCTTGGCGCAAGTTACTCGTAAATAAGAGCCGAAACTTGCGCCACACCTGCGCCACCAAACCAACTTGCGCCAAACTTGCGCTCCACGTGCGCCAAACCCGGGTGGTGCATCCACAAAGTCGCTTGGCACCCCAAAAATTGTGCACCAACACCTTTCCACCACCACCAACTTGCATCACCACTTGCGCCAAACCCCACTTGCGCCAAACCCGGGTGGTGCTCCCACGAAATTGCTTTGCACTTCAGACGTTGTGCACCAACACTTTTCCGTGCTGCCAACTTCTGCCACAGCGGCAGAGGCTATAGAGAGTAACCGAGGAAGCCGAGCAACCAAGTAGCAACTGGCAAGGGGGCAGAGAGACCGAGGAACCAAATGGCAGTTGCCCAAACAAGGGTGCCAGTTGACACGTTCCTTTTGCTTTCTTGCCTACACAATGGTGCTATTTGGACACGCTCCTTTTGTTCTCTTTCCAAATCAAAGGTGCTAGTTGGACACGCTTCCTTTGCCTTCTTGCCAAAAGCAAGTTGCTGATCGGATGTAATTAGGATGTTATTTTCAGAATTTTGGCAATTCATTTTTCTGGTGCTTCGCGTTTCCTGATTGAACATTTTGAAGCGGCCTTTGCCGGACCAAGGGTGCTTTTGGAGACCCCGCAATCCAACCACTGTATACCCGCAGTTAACACATCTCACGCACTTCAGTATATACGAGTAGATATGTGTGCGCAAGCGTCTGTCTGAGTGTGCATACGTGTGTACGGGCATATGCACGGGACGTCCTGTAAACCTAGATAAGTGTGCTTGAGCACAGCTCGCGTCTGCGCGTGCACCACTTCTCGAGCTGATCCATTGGCAACAACAACAACAACGAAAAAGCAACAACAGCACGTCCATTGCCGGCTTCACCATCATCGTCATCACATGACATGACAGCGTCACTTCCAGTAGCAGCATCCAAGTTTCGGTTTCTGAGGCGCCTACACGAAGAGGAAGAGGCATATTGCGAGTCTTTCCACAAAGAAAACGCTCAATTGCGGGAGAGTAATGGAGAGTACCAGGTTGAATGGCACGCAGCGTGCTTACATCTACAGCCGCGACTCCAACGGCCGTGACAACCCTACCACTACCACTCCCACCACCTCCACCACCACCACGAGCACGACTACAACGGTGACGACCTGGACCACGACCGCTCCGCGTGAAAAGGAGATCTATCAACTTTTGGCGAAGTCTTTGCTCAACCGAAGCGGAGCACCAGTTTTCCGACGCCGGCAGGAAAACCTGGCACCAGGAGGCAACTCTGCAGAGAGTAGTAGCAACATTCCGATGAAAAGGCAGTATGAGAAGCAGCACAAATTACAATAGCAGCCTATGTAGAGCAACAGGTTAATTCACAGGGACCCCAAGGCTACACGAACTTCCCTCAACGGAGGCCAGTTTATGTGTGAGCAGAGTCTAGGTGTCGAAGTTTCCAGTGGGGATGGTGAGGGCAGCAGATGAGTTTGCTGCGTGGTGTCATGTAAACCTCAGTAACGAAGCTGGTCATTATGCTGTCAATATGAGTGCAAGGATTCCGGGGGTGTTCTTTGCAGATTGAAGGCAATTTGCTGCCGTCATGTCCTGTTGCATAAGAGTAGGGCCAGGATGGTGGCAACTTCCAAAGACGACGAGCCTCTGAACTTGGACTTGTACTCCTCCTATTGCGAACTGTGTCCTGCTTGCGCTACTCTGCTTTCCCGCTGCGCTCGCCTTTTCCAAGAAGGCCTCCAGCTGAGTGTGGGCATCGAGGGATGATGCATTCGCCGCCTCAGTCGTGCACCAAGCCCCCAATCCTAGTCCTCCCTGCGGCATGCGCTCTCTAAGGCCCCGATGTGTCTCGGTCCTTCTGCACACGAAAGTCAGCCGAAGCAGCATCAGCAGCAGCAGCAGCAGCAGGAGTAGGAGCAGAGGGAGCAGGGGCAGGAGCAGTAGAGTAGAATAGGAGTAGAAGCCTGCATAAGTACAAGAAGTACTTAATGACACAAGATGACCTCGCCGCCCCTTGTCCCGAGTTTCACACTCCTTCCGTTGGTATCCTTGCCATTCGCAACCTGGGCACGAGGATGTTTGACTTACTGCTTGCGTCGTTCCTTATCGCGGTGGTGCTGGTGGTGGTTTATAGGCCACTTTTACTAACAAACTGTAGTGATGCGAGGGTACGCGCCCTCGCATGCCCCTAGGCCTTTTCGGTCACCTGGAGACTGCAGCTTGGAGCTCACGCCATCTTTACGGCACGTACGGGTTGGGGGATGTTGGGGGATGCTTCGACCGGCTTCAGAGTACAAGTCAGCAGGTCTGGATTGTTGTACCTGAATCCTCAAGGCCCGAAAAAAAGCATTGGGGGTCTCAACATCTGCCCTGTGCGGCGCCGACCTTTGTGGGGTGCTATCTGGGGCTAACACTCTGAGATGACTGCTCTTCTCTTAATCTCAGGCTTCGAGGCTTAAAAATTGGTGAATCCGTGTCCCAAAAGTTCCTAAGGCCCGAAGTTGCCCCGCAAGGCTCGGGCAGTAGCCGCTGAAATTCTGCGAACGTCAACTCCGTCTCCAGGTAGTCGAGAAGAGCGATGCCCTGAACTCAGGCTGAGATAAGAGGCTGTCGGATGCAGCGACGAAGTAGAGGTCGGGGTTAACATGGAGCACTCAGACTCACCGGAGCTTCCAAGATCTGTTTCCTGGAAGCAATGACTGCTTCATTGATGTGCTAGTAATGTTTCAATCTTCATGTGCCGATTGTTCAACAGCTGAAACACACAGGGCCTCTGCCAGGAATTGCGTATTATGTGCCAGAATCGCCACAACTCAACCAGCACCAATGCACCTAAAAGCCTGCCAGCTCGGACAGTCGCGTCACAGCTACAGGGTTTGGTGCCAGCTACGAGAGCTCAGTTGTACAAACAAGCCAGCATCATCCGCTTCTTCCTTCCTATCAAGCAGTCTGAGCGCAGCTTGTGCCAGTAGAATAGGCCCATGTTCGTTCCATACCCTTCTGGCCAAACCTATATCCTCCGCCCATGTTCAAAGCACACGTGTCAGAGGCTACGAACAACAAGTAAAAGCAAAAGCGGACCCTGAATGAATGGATGGCTGCTGGGATGCCCTGCCTCGCTTGTGGATGCCTCGCCGGCAGTCCAGCATATCCTCATCCTCGCTGGTTCCTGGAAAACCTGAACATTCAGCAACACTTATGACGAGTCAAGTTGTTCTCGTGCCCTACGCAAACTCGTACATTCGATTGTCATATATATATATATACATACATACATATATAATGTAGAATATGAGCCTCGGAAGCGGAGAGAAGACAGTTCAGGTGATGGACAGCACCGTGTCTTGAAGGGGGCCACCTGACTCGACCATGACTACTTTGACTTCATGGTATATTTTACTATGCCTATATATAACCATAGTAAGGACCCCCCCCCCCCCCAACAAAAAAAACATACTGGCAATTATTTAGGCGCCTCTAATCGCCTGTAGTTTCATCCCTAAGAAGCTCGTCTCTTGCGGGTCTCTTGCATGGACCACAGGAGCAGCTCACGGCACCCTCAAACACAGAGTATAATCCAGCAGAAGATCCCATGCCTACCAATTGACCAAGTCCCAGTTCTATGTTTGCTGTAGCTTCAAAGATCACAGAAAGAAAAACCGGCAGCTCTGAGTTGCAGCAGACCAGAGCACATGAACACTGCAGTGCCTCTGTCAGGATCTCGAAGACTTGCGAGAAGTCTGCCTGGCCACAGATGCTTGCGGCAAACATCAGCTTTCGAAGGGAGTGACTGAAGATGCCACACTCAGTGAATGAACTTAAAACACTCTGGGGATCAACTGCAACCACAGAGACAGAGCAATCTGAGGCAAAGCAACAGCTCGTAGAACGACTGTCCAACAAAAAACGGTTGTGGACAAGGAGCTTAATCTGCTGGCACTACAGCTCTGAATGTAGTGCGCCCCCTTCTGGGAGCAACACTGTCAGTGGTTTCAGGCTTGGGGGTTCTACCGAAAAGTCCGTGCCAACCTTGACATGCTGCATGACGCATCCACAGACGAATGACATAGACAATACGAGTAGCCCTGGAGGGCTCCGCTCGAGCAAGCCAGTGAAGAACGGACATGCTCCTTCTATTCTTACAGAGTAGCTCCAATCCTGATCGCCGCAAAGTAAATTAGGCCGCCAAGGCCTTTCTGCCTTCTGCAAAAACGGTTAGGGCGGCTAGGGGTATGCTCTGGAGCCTGAACGCCTTGATGCCTGAACGCATGGAGGCAATCCTACAAGACACCTGAATCCAACTCCCGCCTCCACAAAGAGACCCGCCCAAACTCCCACGAGAGCACGAAGCCTTGAAGTTGAGCCTCGCAAACTCAGCGAGTGCCCCAGCCTGGGCTATGGAAAAAGTGAAGGGGAGGGAAGAACCGGCAGCGATGAGTCGGATTTAAGCACATGCCTAGGAATCAACAATGCCGCTGTGGACTCTGAAGGTGCAATGTCAATGTTTTCCATCTGAAGCGGCACGTGGCTGCACCGGGCTCGGCTTCATTCGGGGGCTTTGGGGTCGAGCTACGAGCTTGACTTGGAATTGAACCGACCTGTTGCCGCCTCAGCTTGGACAGTGGGGCAGTGGGCAGAGTGGGCTTTGACCAAGGCCCCCATAGCTGTGTATGCCTGAGCCTGGGCTGCCACATGGCATCTGCCAAGAGAGCCGCGTCCCCTTTGAAGTAATTCTTTTTTGAGATCCATCCGAGCAATGGTTTCCGGCTCCCGTGGCATAATGCAGAATGCTGTATACTTTGTACAACGGGGATCCCTCCCCAGACTGGCACCGTCGCCTATTCTACTGCGCTTTCTTTGTCTCAGAGCTCGGGGCGCCTGCCATGAAAAAACGTATGGACGCGAAAAAAAGCTGCTGTTGCACGGCAGCCAGCCTGTGAGCTCTGGAGGCAGAAGGCTGATGCGGGGAAGATCCACCCAACCTGCACAAGTGCACAGGTCAACGTCTGAGTCTCAGCGGTCAGGGGTGTTGCAGTAGTAGAGAGTCGGCAAACGGACATGACAAGGTGCAGCCTGGCGGAAGCTGCTGCGACTTCTTCGTGCGCAGCACGAAAGTCGACCGAGACCGTAGGTCTCGCACCTGTACCTCGACAATGCGGGAAAGGGCACAGTCTGGCACCCTCGCATGCATTCGCCAAGAATACAGGTGCAGTCAGATCGCAGAAACGCAACAGCGTGCATACACACACACACATACAAACATCCTTGTTTGTTTCTGCATGTATGCAACTGTATGTACGTATGTACGGATGATGCATGAAACTTTGAAACACCGTGTGCATGTGCGTATATGCTCTTGTTTCCTTATTTCCTCACTTTCTTCATCTATCCAACTATAGCTGTTTGCTTTATGAAAAATATGTGGGACACAAATCCCAAGCCTCGTAATGCGGGCCCAAGTCGGGGCGTTCTGCCTCCTGCGGCTCTTGCATTGAAAGACCAGGTTTCGATTCCTCTCTTGTAGGCCCTAGGGTTTAACGTTGAGGGTGTTTGTGGATTTGGGAGTGTTTATGGGTGTTCATCGGCAGTCTTTTTACAAGGCTTTTAGCCTCTCCTGTGTTGGGGATGTTAGGTTCGGTTCAGTCTCGGGGAAACCCTGATGTTGAGAGTTTGGGGCCGAGTTTAGGTTAAGTCTTGGTCGCGGGCCTTCGGGTTCCAGGTTCGACCTCGCGTCTGAGCCCGTCCCAGTCCTCATAGCCGCTCTCGTTCACCAGCCTCCCGAATAATCTCAGAATCTCGGGGCCGCCATCCTCCACTGCGTGCAGCGGAGGAACAGTGTCGGCTGTGGATCGTTGGAGCTTTGGTCATTCCACTTGTTTTTGTAGCCTTCGTCTGGCCTACAGCATATTCTCGAGCTGGACTGGACACAAGTCGTGCCATGTCGTGCCTAGTGGAATGCCGCGACCACACAAACTGGACTCTTATCTGCGCTTTGCGGCGGATGATTTTTTGTCCGTGGATTACCATAACGAGAAGGGTGGGAAGCAACAGGGACCAGAGTCTTCAACCGACGCTTCCCCCCCCACATTGATCTTGCAACTGATACCTGACGTCCGCCCCTCGACGACGGAAGCAGTTTCTCGTTGACCCTGGCCTGGGCAAGGGCGGTGCAGAAGTTCTGCGTCCGGAACTGCGCCGGGCAGCCAGGCATTTGGAGAACCTGGCACTCGTGTCAGCATGTACTATGGATCCTAGTCGCCTTTATTATTGGGGTGTATTTTTCATCTCTACTGTCAGATTTGGGTACAATTCCGGCCGCTCCGCACAGGCAGGCTCAGAGAGGGCCTCTGTGTGTGTGTGTAAAACCCTGTTAGAGCCCTTGAAACCCTAAACTTTCAGAAAACCTGACTTAGTCTTTTCAGACAGACAGGCAGTCAGGCCTGCAGATTCAGGAAAGTGTCAAGCAGGCTTCGGACAGCCACGCTTTACAGACCGAGCTGCAGACAGGCCGTCGCAGCTGAGAAGCGACCGACAGCTGTCAACCAGGGAGGCTCACCCTAAACTCTCAACCTTTACCCTAAACCCCGCCTTATTCAGAATTGATTTTAAAGGGCAGGGGTGATTTCGGGAGGATTGGGTCCAATGCGTTTTATGATTAGGGGGGTGTTTAATAAAAAGGGGAAGTGATTACCTTGAGTGGGACTTCGGGTCAGGGGCCTTCAGGTTCTCACATTCTCAGAAGCCGGCAGCTCCTTTTCGGCCACAGTCCGGTCCATGACAGTCCCGAGACAGGTGCTGGGCGCTAACACAGGGAGGCACTTGGCTCAGAGAACTGGGCTCTGCCAGCAGTGGTGGCCAAGTGGCTCAGCTACTGGACCATGCACCTCAAAGATCGACCTGCAGTGGGGGGGAATCAAGAGCTTCCCTCTGGGTTCCCCAGGGTAGCTGAACACCACAATAACCTTTCTGGCAAGCACATCCTTCTGTCTGCCAAGGGGCTTGCTCCTGCAGATCTTCCTGCCAAGCTTGTGTGTGCTACAATTTGTGGGTCCTTATGGGTCCTTGTCCTCCCCGGTCCGTTTCTACATCCAGCTAGCCTGTCTTCGTACAGCGGAATCACCGTCAACGGGCAAAACGTGCAGGGACTTCGGGCGCAGAAAAACCCCCGCCCTGAAGCCCCAAACCCGAGAACTCCAAAGCCCGCAACCCTACAACCCACATAACCCTACAACCCACTACATTATAAATTGCAACGTAAGGTACCACAACCGGCGCTGCCGCTGCCGGCGCCGAGACGCCAGGAGTCGCTGCAGGGCTGGGCCGGGGAGCAGTTGCGCTCCTGCCAGGAAGTGAGACTGTGTGGTGTTAAGGTAGGCGCGTATCTATTTATAAATATATATATATATACACACACACACGCACATACACACATATAGATAGATAGATAG